GTATAGCTAATGAATCTGGTTTATAATTTCCGAATAATTTAATTTAGACGATCTCTGTAACAATGTTTAGATTTAATCTTTCAATTTCTATATTTAATATTTTGGAGACTAAGAAATAGTACATTTTTTATCGCCCGGACACTTTATAGCTGCACCAAATTATGGTTCCTGAATTATGAAACTTTAGCCAGTAAGATTACGGAACTTTAATGCCATCATAAGTTTTCTCAAAGTCTTAAGATTAGTCTTAAGATTTAATGCGTACAATTTCATTTTCTATGATCTTTCTGGTTCCAGACTTTAGTCGAATCTGGTGAAATGATATTATCAGACGGAAGACGCATAGTATCTTCTCTAAGTTCCGATGAAGAAAATTCGAATAAAATACTGCTTCATCCAGATTTTAAAATGATAATATTAGCAAACAGACCCGGTTTTCCATTCTTGGGAAATGATTTCTTTGGAGCACTGGGTGATCTATTCAGTACGCATACGGTCGATAATCCAAGCGTTGAAAATGAAATTCAACTTTTGAAACGTTACGGTCCGAATGTAGACGAACAAATAATATTTAAATTGGTAAAAGCTTTTGGAAAATTGCGAAATATGGCTGATCAAGGATTAGTTTCTTATCCATATTCGACTCGGGAAGTTGTTAATATTGTAAAGCATTTAGAGGTGAGCTTTTATCATTGTTTATTATTTATGTGAGCCTCGATCCAAAGCTTTATTCAATCTGTGATGTTTCGTTCATTGGCGATTTTTTTTATTTACTTTTTCAGAAATTCCCACAAGAACCGTTATCTAAGGTGGTGCGAAATGTATTCGATTTCGATCGATATAGCGAGGAAACTTTTGATACTTTAGTATCTGTATTACACGAACATGGGATTCCCATTGGAACAAGTTCTACTAATATTTCGTTAGCGAAAGAGTAAGATATTTAATAAAAAGAATTCCATTAGAATAGTTTTTACCTCGGGCAAATGAAAGTTATACGTTTAATATGTATTTTTATTTTTGAATAATATACACGTATTTAGAACAAGAATAAAGCATAGAAAGAATACAACGTTTAATATTTATTTTTCCTTTTCCTTTGCAGAATATCTTTGCCGGAAAGCAAAATTAGTGCTACCTGGAATTTTTCTAATAAGCAGGACGTGCTACGCGTGCAGGAAAAACATATTAAATTAAAACCACCGATAAGTTTAAGTCGAAAGATTTTATCTTTAGATCGCGTTGAAGCCAGATCAGCTTTATTTACTGAATTACAAAGTTATTGGACCATTCCAATTAGTGACACCGCCGTAGTCGCAGGTCTGTCAGTTATTAAAGGTACAAAAGCCGATGGAAAAGATGACGTAATTAATGTCCTTGCTACGAATCCATTAAAGATCTATAGCATGACTCAAGAATCAGATAAAGTTCAGGAAACTACGTTACATGGATTAATAAATTCTGAAAGAAGCAATAGACTTCGATTCACAATGGCGAGTGATAAAAATCAAAACGTTTTAGTCTACGAAGAAACAGTAAGTAATTTTTATATCAAATGAATTTCTTTTTATTATAGCGTATTGTACAAAATGTTTGTTTCCAGAGCAATGTTCTTTTAATAGTGAATTTAGGCGAAGGATTCGTTCAGAAGGTAGAAATATTATCTTTCTTCGATATGGCATCGGATAAAATATCAAATGCCTTGAGAAATACAAGTTTTCACCGAAAAATGAAGACGGATTTGATAAAATCCCATAATCAAATCGTTTTCTATGTCTATAATTCTAACAAGATAGAAGTGGTCGATTTAAATCGCATGTGTTTCTATATAGTGAATTTACCGTTTGAAATAGAATCAGTTTTACTTCCATCAGAAAAAAGGTGGTTGATTCAAGATAGAAATCAAAACAAATATATTCTCAAGAAATCTGTAGAATCGTCACCGTGTCCAAATGTTTTACAAGAAGTAGAAGAATCTAGTAAAAATAATTTTGAAAATGATTTATTTCTCAGTTGCACTGACAGCAACTTGAACAGCAATCTACTTAGTATAGCACTGAAACAGAAAATAGATTCTCCAAATAGATTGCTAGTATCTAACAATACCTATGCCACTATTGCTGTTGGATTTCCTGATCTAGATAGTTTTAACGAACTACATACTTGGCCAAGACCAAAACAGAGCAGAAGCTCCGCGCCCCCTATTTTTATGGATAATGGGCAAATTATTAGAACGGTTACAGCTCGTGAAGTTCCTAATGATATTCTTCCAAACACTAAAGCAAATTTAGGGGTCGTTGCTTATATAGAAATTGTTGATATCGTAAATCAGAAGCTACGATATATACCTGTACCAGAGTAAGTATATGTGATTAAATTTAATGTCCAATAATTATTAAATATGTACTTATTAACCGTATTATTTATATCTTTAGACTATCCACCGTATCGCATATGACTCAATTTTTGTATCCAAACAAGCAGAACTTGTATATTGCTCTTAAATCAAATCAGGATCTTGTAACGGTAGATGAAGGTGGTTGCGTTCGCCTTTGGGAGACGTCACTAGCGAATATTGAAAAATCACTTGGAGCTTGGAGAAGAATGTTGGAAGACGGTAATGAAAATTTGCAAATGACGAAAGAAAGGTATTCTGGCTTGGATGTTAGTGGCCCAAAACATGGTAAAATCGATGACAAAAACGAACCGCACGTTGGAGGCAATACATGGGCAGGAGGAACCGGAGGTATGGTGTGTGATGTACTAAACACAACAAACGATGATGCAATATAAAATATACAATGAAAATTTCAGGAAGGGACACAGCTGGTCTTGGTGGAAAAGGTGGACCTTATCGCTTAGATGCTGGCCATACGGTGCATCAACTTAGCGACAAAGAAAAGAACGCGGTACCAGAACATATTAAAAAGGCAGCGAGAGAAATGGGTCTTAAAGCCTTTCAGCAACGACTAAGAGAAATTAATATGAGCGAATATGATCATAATCTTTATTCCCAATTCAGTGACGCTGTCCAGAAGCAAGTTAAAGCGTTAAGAACTATAATAGGTTAATATTATCCGCATATTGCTATATCAGTATACATTTCTAGACTAATTAAGGATGTATCAGATATCTGACAAACTTTAATGCGTCATTCGAATTAAATATTTATGCTTGGAAGAAATAATTTATAACTATGAAATATTTATTTTATGTTAATAAAGTTAGAATGCTTCAATTACGTTTTACAGATAGTCTACAGGCAAAAAGTAAAGAACGTCAATGGTGCAGGCACCAAACTTCCGGTGAGCTAGACGATACTAAATTAATCGAAGGATTAACAGGGGAAAGAACAATTTATCGAAGAAGGGCGGAGAAAGAACCCGAGCTCGGCACTCCTCCGACAAAACCGAAGCGTTTAAAATTAGTAGTGGACGTTTCTGGTAGCATGTATAGGTTTAATGGTTATGATGGACGTCTTGATAGAGAAATGGAAGCTTGTGTTATGGTAATGGAGGCGTTTAGTGGGTACGAAGGGAAGTTTCAGTACGATATCGTTGGCCATTCCGGTGATGACTATAATATTGTTTTTGTAAAGCATACTCAACCGCCGGCTAATAATAAGCGTAGATTGGAAGTAATAAAGGTAATAGTAGTTAAAAAACATTGTTCCAATTAAACGTGAGGTGCGGTATTACGAACGATATAATTTTTTTTAGACGATGCATGCACACTCACAATTTTGCATGTCTGGCGATAATACTTTAGAGGCGACTCAACATGCGATCGCGAATCTAGCGAAAGAAGACGCCGATGAATGTATCGTTGTTGTACTGTCGGACGCCAATTTTGAACGTTATGGTATTCGTCCCGAGCTATTTACAAAAATTCTTACATCGAATGCAGATGTTAATGCATTTGCTATATTTATTGGTTCTTTAGGCGATCAAGCTTTTTAGTAAGTATATTGTTTGATATTCGTAAAATGTTTGAATACTTTGTAAAAAACTACAGATAAAAATGTATATTTTTAATTTTAAGTTTAACCAAGAAGATAGCCTCGGGACGTGCGTTTGTCTGTATGGATCTCAAGGATATACCTCGAATCTTGCAACAAATATTTGCTGCTTCTTTGTTAAGTACTACAAGATCCGGTTGATGTATCGCTGATGTAATTACTTTGTTATCAATCTTTAAATAAATATTTATAAGGATACAAATCGTTAATAGCTAAGAAATGTATTGTAATATATATTTGGTATTTGGTATTTGGTATTATTATTAATTTTTTATATATACATATGTAATAGAATTATTTTCATCAAAATAATTTATTTTTACATTAAAATTAGTACTAATAATTAGCACTAATTAATTAATTCTACCATATTTTGTATTATTTTTCTTATTATAATTACTTTAAAATATTTACTAATTTAAAACATGCAATACTTTTGCAAATATTGGTATCATTCTATTCATTACATTTGACTATCTATTAACAATAGAACATCGAATCTTACCGAAATTAACCGAAAACACTCGAAATATTCAAAAACGTATCTTTACATTTTCATTCAATTTGCCCATAAATACAATTAATATAAATCTATTTATCCCATATACGTCACAACCAATTTATTTTATGATTAACACTTCAAAATAATACAAAAATGCTCTTATACAAAAAACAAAATATCTTACCGAGCAGTCCGCGAAATGAGCCAAAATCGTCTCCAAACCAGTCAAGAAACATTGCACTTTACACTTTGAAAAAAGATATTATATGTTACACACGCTGAATTTATTCCACGTGTTTATCGAAGAATTATATCGTGTAGGGGGAGGTTTGGTGCTCGCGCATCGCTAGGAGTCAGGACTCGATGAGTGATGGTGAGGGTTAGGGAAAAATGGGGGTGACGTTGCGAGTCGAAGTTGGCCGAACACAGCCGAAGCGAATCGAGAGTGTCGAGTGGTGTGGGGCGTGCATTTATTAGTCGCACGCCGGTCGTTGAATGGAGCGGGTGTGGAGACGTGTACAAGGTGCCGGGCGTCGCGGTGCCACAGCTCGCTGTGGTTGCCCTGTGCAGCCTTGTCAGCTGCACGTGGACCAACGCGCGAAACGAGGAGGCGGTCGAAAATCTCGCGGTGGACCGCAAACGATCGTGTGCGGTTGTCAAGTGCAGCCATGTCCGGTACATCCGGTACTGATTAGGGTTCGTCGTACCCGACCCGCGGTTGGCAACTGTGACTGTCCACCGGAATCGCAACCTTGTCCGCATGTACCGCGTACATCGGCTGTTCGACGTATTCGAAGGTAAATAAATATCTGTCATTGCCTGTTTTTCTCGATAACCTCCGAAATTTGTCGTTCCTTCTTTTTCCGTTACCGTCCAATATTTGGCGCGACAGTGTATGTTGTGTACACGCTGCGAACCATTATGAATTAAAGGGGTGCAAGGAACGAAGGTCAAAGTAACCGTGTGCTGATCGTATTTGCGAATCCGTAAACTAGGCTCGTTGCGGCGCGAATATGGTGAAGTTGACATCCTTTTGTAGAGTCAGGGTAATGTGTCTACTTAGTCCTATTTTCTTTGAGTTGTTCGCAATCGAATCGTCTTATCTTGTTGATAAAATGTTTCTTAAGTTTGATGAAAAGAATTTCCAAAGTTTGATGAAAATACGAACGAATGGTTATTTGATATATATAATTTTTCGTCCCAATTCTATTGTTAGACTAAAGTTTTTCTTAAAATATTTCCTCAACATATAAGATTGAAATGAAGGCGAAATTACAATACAAAATTTCGAAGACTATGGTAAGGTTAACAATGGGAAGGTTACCAAGGAGATTCCGCGATGCATCGTAGTAAAGTAGAGGGGGAGAGGTTTGACTAGTCGAATCACCATCATGTGATTTTATTATACCAAATAAATGTAAGGTTATGGACTGATCGAATGGCTACTTCGAGGAAGAAATACATAAACCGAACGTTATTGCATTGTAGGTTCGTATTCTACAGGTTGCTCAAGAAGTGCATAATAGTTTCAATCTCGTATTTCTCTATTTATTTCGTAACAGGATCGATAATATTATATTAGAAGGAACTTTTGTCAGAAACTTTTTGCTAAAAGACAGATACAAGATAATTTTATTGGATAGTAATAGAATTTTTGATACATTAAATATATCATATAGATTAATAATAAGATTTATTAGAGTAATATTATAACGATAATTGAAATACATATATGCTATCTGCCTATAATTAATAACTAATATTTGTGTCAAGCATTGGAAAATAGAATGCACATTTATTCGCAAATTAAAATGAATAAATTATTAAGATGTGGATATTTTATTTCGTAAAATAAACACTGTCACTGTGCTACGTCTAAATGTACATGTCGTATTCATAACATTTACTTTTATTTCTTTGACTCTTTGTAATATGATTGTATGGAAACATCGTTGATGTCGACAATGTTTATTTTATAGCATAGTTGTCAGGATGCGAATTACGTTTCAACTACATGATATTCGAGTTAGTAATTACATAGGTATTTTTATTTTCGTGTTAGAACCATTAAAGTGAAAAATCGATGGGCAAAAGCGTGCTTTTTTATGAGCCAAGAAAGTGAAATGCATTAATGATCTAAAATTTGCTTTGCTTTTATCAATGTCAAATATGATTGAAACATTTTAGCAATAAAGTTTTAATAATACGTTTTACGTTGAAACCAATCAACATTGGTCTTACGAACGTAATTTTGTATAGCTTCCATCGTATCTCTTAATTAGTTTTCAAGGTAAATATTTTATTAATTTAACTTCTGGTTTATACGAGGAAGTCTTTAATAAGTGATACTTACCGTCAATTTATCAGAATATCGTTTGTAAATTGTTAATAAATCGTTTGTGAAGTTTGAAATTTAAAGTTTTAAAAAGAACACTAGGTTTGCTTGTGATTTAATTTTTTTATATATCGCTTTGAATAATTTTGCTTGTGCATGGTCTTTAAATATTGCACGTTTCAGCGTGTCATTTTGGTTTATTATGATCCTGTCTAAAAATGAAAGATCACAGCTTATCATATTGTTTGCGGATCATCCTTCACAATTTCTTTTTTCCCTTTGTTCCTCAAAATTACTCGTAAACCATTTGAAGAGAAATTTCATATATTTTAGTTTAATGAATCTCATTTTCTTTTAACAAATTAATAATATTACATTTCTATTGTAAGGACTATCAACGTAATAATAATTTTTAATACAACCAAGTATTATAACAATAAAATATAAGATACAAATATAAATTGGATAAATACAATCTCCTTCTGAAAATCGTTTAAACATGTACGTACATAGTTTTCAGCATAGCCACGGGCATGTAATTAAGCAAGTTGTAATGAGGTACAAATGTAGTTTCATAGTTTCCAATGTAAGATTTATCAACGTTGTGCGAACTGCTTTATCCAGACCTACTAACTCTATCCAATTAACAATAACTTTATTCATTTAACACGATATTTCTAACTTTTCTCGAGTGTCAGAGAAACGAAAAGCAAATTAACAAACTTATTCCATTATTCTCTTCGTTTTTCATATTATTTAATTTATCAAAATAAATCATATACGAACAAATACTGTTTCTGTTTAAGCGAAGGATATTTATATTTATATTTACTTATATCTTTATAGCAAAAGTTGTATCGAACACGGGAAGACGACTTTAAATTCGACCAGAAGCAGATAACGCTCGATCAAATCGGTCTACGTCGCAATAGATATCATCAGGATCTGGCAGAGCATAGCTGTGATTACAGGCAAAGCCAATAGCATTTGGTAGGACTTATCTAAGCTAATATGAATCGACTGGACATGACAGAAAGCATTAAAAGCCAACAGGATTCAGCAGGATATAATATATCTTGGTACAATATGATTCGAACGTTGTAAAAATAGCCGAAACATCGGTAGAATTTAGTCGATATCGAGTAAGAAAAGTTAAAGTCAGTTAAATTCAAAGAAATCTGTAGGAATGCTGATCGTACAGTTCAATAATAATAAATGGCGCCACGTTCATGCGTATGGTCATATAGAAATCAATATATAGGTCACGGTGTCAATGGCACTTACCTCCATTCTGTGAAGTTGGAATTTGATTCATAGAATTTGATTTTGATCGTAAATAACCGAATTGTATAATAACTACGCTTCCGTATTGAAGAGTGTAAGATGAGATGAGAAAGATCATGAAAGAGTTTTGGATTTAATACAAGTAATTTTCACATTTATAGATGCGATCTATATACTAGTCTTGTTTTGAGTTAGAGCTTTCATAAAACTCTATTTTAATAGTTTATACAGCATACCATAAGAGCATTTCTATTGGAAGTTATACCTCTTTAACCTGTTCTGGCGGTGTACCAGAATATTGCTGATATCAGGATTTAATGTCCTTGAAGATGGTACGCTGTTCTCTAATATTAGAGCCTTGTCGCTTCATATAGTCGCGAGAAATTCACAAGATCCAAGTTTCACCATTTATAGTTTGCAATCTGTTTTACTAAATGTTAATTACTCAGAATATTGATTTTCTTCTTAAAAACTTCATTGGTATCTTCGTATCTCAGAATCTCCAAAGATTAATTTTATCTTTTCTCGAAATCAACGTCCTTTGTAAACTTTCCAAAATCCTTCAACAACAGCATGTACGAGGACAACAAAACGTTATTAGGTACCTCACAAAACAGGCCAAGAACAAGCATGTAAAATGATTTAATAATATATATAAATCATTTTTTTTAAGACCCAAAAAAGTTCAAAAATATAAACAATGCACTCATGAAAATAAAAGTAACCATTTTAGTACCAAAAAACCATATTTTTCCATATTTTTGCATCGTTCTTTCCCATCATACGAGAGGCGGCAGAACTTTCTTGATTACCCGATATACATTTTTGCATATCGTGTCCATTCTGTATATTTTAACGCTTTAAATGCATAAACATTGCGTCCATCAATTCGAACCTCTTTCAGCGTAAAATATTCTTGTCTAATTCGATATCACATTCGTTGCATGTTGCACAGATGCGACTGTCCAGAACGACCTTGTCGACACTCAGCAGGAAATGGTGGTACGCGGCACCGACTGCCAGTTCAATCCTCTTCACCCACTTTTTCTCAAGCGAGCCAGCCAAACCAACAGCAGCAACAGCAACAGCAGCAGCAGCCGTGCGAGTGCGCCGAAAGAATAAACTGCACTCACACAGGCGGCGGCGAGTGCGAGTGCAGCGAGGAAGCAAAGCCATGCTCGCACACGGTCAGGCAACGCCGGTCGCGTCGCACGTGCGATTGCAGTGGAAGTGGCACGCAACCGTGCAGCCATAAGCCACAGCACGAGGGACGGATAAAGCGTGTTAAGTGCCGCGTGAGGCGCGCCGGTTGCGCCATGGCCAGGTGTACCGCGGAACTCGCGATGCTGCACCTGCATTGGGGTCTCGCTACCGAATGTGCGCCCTGCAGGCCGCGTGCACTCACGCGACGGCTCTGCAGGAGGCAGCAAAGCGACAACGAACTCTACAGAAGCAACAGTTTCAAGTTTGAGCGGTTCGAGAGGAGCAAGGACGAGTGCGCGACTCCGCTGCGGAAACAGGTGAGTCTGCTTTACGATTCCCTTAAGTCTGGAACTAATATATCAAATATATACCTTTGAGGTACGAGTAAGATACAAAATTTTATTTCAATCATTTCGGAGTTAATCCTTGACTGACGGAAATTATAAATCAGCTTTATCATGAGCGAAGAATATTTATTTTATAGCAATAAATAAGTAAACGAAGGGAAACTATTTTCATTCCTGCGTGGTAATAAAATTTGCTTAAAAAATAACGTTGCTCGTGTAGTTTGATAAGATAATTAAGGGTGAATAAAATTATATTTACGAAGAAATCAATGTTATCTTTTAGAGAGATAGAAATGTGATTGATTATTTTTATCGTACAGCGTTAATTGTTATAATTTTCGTATATTTACGTAGATACACATTAGAAATTGTTTACAGTTAGTTCTAGCGTTAATGAGTTTGTGAATTTTCACTTGCTGCATGAATCATTTTCATTAGTTGGTGGGATATGAAGTTTAAATGACCCACGTTGGCGTTCTTAGGATGACGACGTTATAGTTATTGTTAGATAATAGTTAGAATATTGATCTTTTTTCGAATTAGTTTAATGTTTGTGATAATAGAATCACAGATATTTCTCTGTGCGACTTCTTTTGATAATAGAAGTTTGAAGTATTATTTCATTTTATTTAGGCGTTATATTGGAGAAAAAACGTGGAGCAAGTTTCGTGCTTTCTCAGAATGCGCTTGGATATGCATAACGAAACTGTTATTTTAAATGGTTGCTACGGTTTGAAGTATTTTTTAAACGAGAGGGAGTGACGTTAACTCACTCCAATTATTCGTATGTTTTATTCTTCAACGCGGAAATACTTTCTTGCATTTATAATGAACGCAATAGCGTAATTTTTTTGTTTCCAGATACGTGGAATTGAAATGTAGTTGTTTGAATGCGCATAATAGATATCCATTGTTATTCACGGAACACGAGCTATTATAGTATCACGGTAAATGTCTATGCTTTTGTTCGTATCGAACTTTTAACTTCGTGTTAATTAAATCGCTAAAACAATTACGCATTGATCAAAAAATTCTATAATATGTGATACTTTATTTCGAATCTTCAATATTCATTACAAACCCGGACGAATGTTTCAAATACGATCACGTTAATTATCGTTAAAGTTTAACGAGCCAATTTAGAAGTATCGTATTGAAGCTGCATCGTATGTTTGCGAATCGTGATACCAGGCCAAACAACCGAAATCTTTGTTAACCGAAGTAGCTTTATTAAATGAAAACCCGGACCAGTTCACTTGCATGAGAGCTCTGTAGAAGGCAGTAGAGCGACAACGAGTTCTACTTTGGGAACAGCTTTAAGTTTGAGCGCTTTGAATGCAGCAGGGATTGCTATGGTATTTCACTTAGCGTATAGACGAGTCCTCGCGGTATACGCTTCGTTGCCAATGGTAGTATATTATTTTTTATTTGCGTATTACTGCGTTCTATTCGTATATAATAAGGAAAATAGGACACAGAAAATCTATCAGAATTATTATATATATACTTTTCTTTGTAAGTATTAAGATACACTAGTATTAAGTTAAAAGTAGGTAACTATTAGGATATACTATGGAAAAAACGATTAATTGATCAGAGCTTTTCATTCGTGGAAAATTACGATCCAACATAGTACTTATTCATTGAAGTTGTTTGCAAGAATCGCATTAACGTAGTAAATTGCAGTAATTATATATCGGTTAATTATACGTTTATAGAATAGTCGGATATATATAAGGAAAGAAAATACCATTTTATTATATTAAATTAATAAGATTACTATTATGCGGGTAATATTGAATAATTCTTTAAAGTTTAAATAAATTCATAATGATTGTATCTTAATACTTGTCAACAGGTATATACGTCATTATACATTACTACATATATTACGTATTATTGAAAAATTGCTTATCCATGTTAATCAAATCGAATATCGAGATACAAGTTGTGTTACGCCGTTGCTTAAATCGGATTTTCCTCTATAAAAATTCTTTCGTCAGCAGTTTCAAGAGTTCAACTGGACGAAAGTATTCTACATTAAAGAAACTATTTTGCTTTTACTGTACAAAACGTGTCCTCAGGCGAATACGATGAAGATTGCACCTGCGACGCTATATATCGGATAAGACGCTTCTAGGGATTCTATCTCTGAAAAGAGAATTTAAATTGAAGCAAGATGGAGTTACATCAAGTTCGTGAATACGAAACAGTTGAAGCATGTCGCTTTTATGATATCCACCCAGCGGGAGGAAGGTTTCTTAAATGGATTTCACAGCGTGGTGATACCACGATGCCGAAATTTCCTGCAAGAGATGGATGCAGGTTACACGGTTACGTGGGCGGAAAACTTTTGCTACGTCATATTCGATATTGAATAACGAACAGAATCGAACGCTTTTGTAACGTACCTTCTTGCTCACATCGAGATATGAAATACTTTAATACGTTCGTTTCTATTGAGAATTAGAATCCAAAATCAATAGTACGATACATTGAAATATATTTGAAGCAACTAATTAAGGTGTTAAAAATAATAATTTAAAGGGAAAGTTTCTATCCTATTGGTACTTATTTATGTATATGCTGTTATTTAGTAGAGTTCATATTAGATCTTGATTTATGTTTACCTGGAACTGCTGCAGTAGTATAACCGAATTTAGTCCGACATTTAGTATCACTTAAATGAAGGATAGTTAAACGAAGTAATTTTTAATTAAGACCGTATAAATATTATTTTCAACCATTTAAAAATCTATAGTTTTGACTTTTGCAAAAATATCTATTATTTATCTTTCGAAAGGTCACGTAGAGAATCTCTTTATAGTTTGAATTGCAACGGATCATGTACATAGAAGGAATTTTTATTTTAAAGTAAATATTGCTATATGTGGAACGTTCGACATAAAGAAATTAAAACACCCTTTTTCACGGATGAAGGTATTCAAGTTTGAAAAATTGCTTAACAGCTATGGAGTATAGAGTATGGTAACACGATTGGCGTTCGCGAAAGTAGAGAATGGGAAAAAAGTGACAGGACGGATTATACGGTTATTGGAGAATCTTTGTTTTTTCATGTATTATATGTACCTACCACGTTTTCACTGTTTTCTGTGGTTGGAATGTATGTTCTACCTGAACGCTGCCTTTATAACGGCTATTGGCAAAGTCGATATCACGTTATAGGCTTAAGGATTGTCACCTGAATCTCTGCTCGACCCTGTTATTTTCATAGAAGATGCTTTTATAGAGCTAACTTAAATTTAATAGCATAATACTTTCAAATATCGTGTTTAATCCTTTGAAAATTTAGTACGAGAAAAATTCAGACAAATTGACAAAGATAGAAATTTGATATTGTCGATATTATCATTAATACTACATAAAGCAATCGTTGATATAGGAAAAGTAAAAAAGAACATATTTCTCATATTTGACGCCAAAAATGCAGAAAGTCTTCACCGTAAAAAAAATTATTTTTCAAGAGGTTCATCAAAGCGAATGAGTTAAGTATTGAAATACTTATTTATGTACAAAATACATAGATCTCTTATTTATTTTAAAAAGTATCTTATTACGTATTTCATTGTGATTCCTATGAAATGAAAAGATTCGCGTTTGAATTAATCGGTTACTCATCTTATAAAGTACAGAGAAAACGCGTCTTTCTTTGCCGAGCATTTGCATCAAACTTGTACTCGTCGCCGGTGCGGATGGCACTCTTCTGTCTGTATGTACTACATATATATCGTTGAAGCTTTGCAACCAATTTCAGTTTACTGGTAACTGCCGTTTGTGCGCGTTAATACACTCACAATAAAATTTTTATGCCTTGTGAATGACTACTTGAATATGAAGCACGTTTAACGAGACGATGCGGTCCCTGCTCACCCTGTTAATAATAACGAATAATTATTCGTGTACCCTTTATTTCTGGGTGACAAAGTGCTCTTTTCAAATACCATCTAACTTTTCGTTGCAGAAAGTGCATCAAGATTCTGAAACGAACCATTCAGCTGCAATGGTGTCAGGGGAAAAAGAGAATTTCCATTGATTTTCCATACAAAACTTTTGAAACGGTTAAATCAAAGACATTCATCGACTAATTCAATATTTTTTACATAAAAATTTCGATGTGAAATTTCTCTTTTTTAGCAGCGAATATAATGCTCGGTTTGAAATGTACAATGCAATCAAGAAAATGCAGTATACCATATGATAGTTCTTTCTTTGTTTGTTGTTTCCAATAATTCGTCGCAATTTATATCTGGAATAAATTACTGAGAAGCTGGCATAATGAAATGCTATATCTGTTATTATTATATTATCGTAGGAAAATTAATTATACATCAGAAATAATTGTTAATTCGTCAAAATCATTACTTTCGCACAAGCTGATTAAGATGCATTTTTGTATCTTTATAAGCTTATGACATTGATAGAGATAGTTTCTATAAATTTAATATCGATTTTCTAAAAATTTCACTCGAACGGACAAATTCTGTTAATGTGTATACTTTGAACCGCAATCGTTTTGTTCTATTTAAGAATTCAGTTTCGCGAGTGAGCGAGTCCTTTCAATTTAATATTATAATGAAGGTATGAAAACGGGTGAAAAGAAACGAATGAAGTCAAAGAAATCGGCTATAATAAATTGTAGTCTACGCGTTTGCTCGTTTCATAAACCTAATTATTTTTGGTACAGCAACACGGATACGGTTTATGAGCCGTGGCTGAGAGAATGCGTCTCTTATGCATCTCACGCCACGTGTTCATACTAAATATAATGCTATAACGCTGTTCAAATTTATTCCTCCCTGTGTAGAGATTCGAATAACGCCCAGAGCTTTATTATAATTATTACATATGCGCGCATATTAGCGAAATTAATTATAGAAATCGATATTCGTTTCTTGATTTTTCTCTTAATATATAGAATGTATCGTTTATAATGGATGCGTGAATTATTT